TATATATATATATATATATATATATATATATATATATATATATATATATATATATATATATATATATATTTCTTTCTTTCTTTCTTTCACTTACTTGGTTAGTCGCATCAGCCAACATGGAGCAGGAGATACGAAAGGAGTCGCTGAGAAAAACTTGATCCTCGGCGACAAGGACTCCGGGACTTTACAAGCTCTTAGGACGATGCATCTTTAGACGCGTGTTATGGATTGACATACTGGAAATTCTAGTTGAACTGTTTTTTTTTTTTTTTTTCAAATTTCTATCTCATTATTATTACCTTCGGAGTCCTATCGCGAGGTCTATCATCGGCGTGGCGTCGAACGCTGAGAAGTGCCTTGAGATTGATTGAAATAATGCGTAATAAAGCAAGTGCTAAAAGTGCCAGGTTAACCGATGGTTTAACCCCGGCTTCTCGGTGCGTCTTCAAGAATGGGGTCTGCCTTTGTCGTGTTGGTCCGTAGAATCTATTTATCGACCTCTCGCAGATGTTATCTTGCTATCTGCACGTCGGGAGTGAGCTAGTGAATACGGTTTATCGCTCGCAAATTCGATTCGCGCCTTAGAAAGTATTTTGGACGCTGTGCGGAAACATGTTGGACCTGGAAGCATTGATTGGAGGGAGGCAAATCCACCACGTTCGAAGGAGGATCAAAGGCGTCCTGGTTGTGCCGAGTGAGTGCTGGTCTAGTGCACATTGAAATTGACTCTGTGACTAGATCCACACTCATTAAGCACGTTCAGGTGTAAACAACCCCATCTGTTCCTCGTTATGCCGCACGATGGCGTCATGAATTTTTCTTCATTTTATTTTTTGTTTTCTGACCCGTAGGGTCTCTCAAACGTACCTACGTCGTACCTCGAGCTCACGGCTGTTCCTTCGTAGCGACCCAGAGCCAGGAGGCAATTCCATAGACGAGTATGAATTTGGTGCACGTTTTTTTTATTGACCTCGTGACTAGATACACACTCGTCTACGGAGGCCAGTTTTGGAACGTTCGAGGAGCTGTGATTAGATTTCTTTTATTTAGATTTAAGTTCTTTCTCCTATTGTATGCCAGTCACTGGACGAGGCTGTAGATGTTATGCGTTTTGGATATATTTTTTGGTGCATTTTATATTTCAACCAGGTCAAGAGGCTCAGGAGTCCCGAGTCGGATACGCCGGAGAGCGAGAACAAAGTACGTGCCGTGGAAAATCAATTTTCACCAGTTACTTACTCGCAGACGCCGTAAGTGATGCGTTCCTGTGTTACTTAATAATGACATTGAGAGGCTCTCAGTTTATTGTGATTTTTTTTTTCAGGATTACTCCCACCCGTAAGTCGTCCAGGAGCTCCAGTGGCAAGGTGCTGCTCTCGTTTGGAGAGGGCGTGGTATCTTGGAAGAATAATGATAAAACGAGAGTGGAAGTGGAGAAGACCGAGGATCCTCATGTACCTGCCAAGGCGATGTACATGTTTGAATTACTTTCGAAGAAGTTTTCGATCATGAATCTGCTGTGTCAGGATGTCGGTACCAGGATCTGCGAATACTGGCATAGACAGAAAAACGACGATGTACCTATAACATGGAACGTCAGGTCCAAGTCGCTAACATATTTTCGTACATGGGGAAAAGTCGTGCACGAGATGAAGGGAAAGCTTAACAATAAATCTGTCATGTTGGTGGGTTGTAAGACTCCACTTGGACAGAATAAATCGTCATGTGTGCGGATGGACCTCAGTAACGTTGAACAATATTCCTTGTTCCCGGGACAGATTATTGCTGTCGAATGCAAGAATCCTACCGAGGATTTACTTATCGTTAAGGAAATTTTCGCCCATAATTACGCACCCCCCTCGAAGCCGCCGCAGCTTTTGCAAAATTTACATGTTATGGTTGCTGCTGGACCCTTTACTCCTATGGACAATTTAAATTATGGTCCTCTGTGGGATCTGATGAAGCAGGTGGTTCAGAACGAGCCTCATTTATTGATTCTAATTGGTCCGTTCATTGAGTTTACGCATCCTGAAATTGAAAAGGGCACCATTGCTGACACCTTTCAGGAATTGTTCGAGCAGCTCGTTTCTAAGATGATGACTCAATTGCAAGGGTACCGTAGCAGTGAATATTGAAACTTGTACAGTTTTGGTTATCGTTGTGTTTTATTTGTCATTCGTTTATTTTAGGACGTGCACGCAGGTCGTCCTCATACCTTCCAATCGTGATGCTCATCATGACCCTATTTATCCTACTCCGGAATTCTTTGTTTCTAAAGCAGTACAAAATCCTAACTTACATCTAATGCCGGATCCTTGTATGTTGAGTGTCCAAGGCTTTACTGTGGGAGTGACATCTGTCGATTCGCTTATGCATCTTGGTCGTGAGGAGATAACTTCGTATGTATTGGGTTTGGTCTTTTTTTTTTGTAAGATAAATAACAAAATTATGTTAATTATATATGATCTTCTGTACAGAAATATGATGGGGATGGACAAACTTGGTCGATTGGCAAATCATCTTCTCAGCCAGAGCTGCTACTATCCTCTATATCCCCCGGCTGAAGAAGTCAACGTTGATATGACACTTTGGGAAAAATATGCTTTTATGGATCAACAACCTCATCTTTTAATTCTTCCATCGGCCATGCGACACTTCTGCAAAACCATCAAGGGCTGCGTCGTTTTGAATCCTGAACGAGCTAACAAGTATTTGTATGCTAGACTCGTCATTAAGCCTGCTGTTGCAGGAGTCTGGAATCAGGATAAAGTGTCATGCGAGATACTACAAATCTAATGAATGTGTTACGAAAAAGCAAGTTTGACGCCACTGTATATTTTGTATATTATTATTGACTAGCTTGTGATGAAATAAAATATAGTTGCATTTTTCTAAAGTACACGATTCACTTTCTCTCTCAAAGCTTCAACTTTCTAAGTCGGTTAACTTACTTTCGATATAGTTAATATGTCGATCCATTGTTCTGACTTTGAAAATCCCCACCTCCAGATGCAAAAGAGAAATTCGCAAGCGCTTCAAAAATCAAATGTACAAGGGTCCAAATTCGTTAATAAATTCTTACTACCTGGTATGGCAAGTAGGATCAAATAGAATTCGAAAGTGCGTCCTGGAGAATAGATTACTTTTAGGTTTAATGAGTTTTGTGACAATTGGGAATATATTTAATTACAGTCAAATTCTGGCAATCTTAAGAACAAACTCACGTAGATCTAATACTTGACAACTCAGCCTGGACCACTGTAGGCAGGATTTTGTATTTCAAATTTCTACCACCGTGGCGCCATGTATCTTTCGTTTGTCGGTATCGGAGCTGGTTTCTTTAACAAGGTACCGAAATTGGCTACATAGAGGTCAGCACGATAGGGAGTAAAGTTTATAGTTTAGTACAATGCGTGATGGCGCCACCGACACAACAATCATCCCTTCAAGTTTTCTGTTTCTAGTGGGTCGTGGAATCGGCCATTACTCGAAATTTGCAGATCTTCGCGCAAATAAACGACTCCGATCGCGAGCCGCAGCCAATAAACGCCACAGATGTCGAGGTGAGTCGTTCAAGTCGGATGTGCCGTCGCGTAATTCGTTATTGTGTCGGCGGGAAACGCTGAAATGATTGAAAACCCGAAATGCCAATATCGCGTCGGCCATCTTTGTTACCGATTCGTGTACACACTGCAATTTCCCACGGTGAATTTTTACGTGAAAAACATCATCAGTCGAGATCACTTTATAATTTGTGGCTTCTAGGAATTGTGTTTCTGTGATGTGTTAACCTATGACAATGGTGAGCACACTCGCTTAACCTTTATACGAGGAACAGAGCCTGTTGCTGGTATCGATAAATTTCGCAATGTCGTGAACGACCTTGGTATTTTGGCGAGAAAGATGCAAGTAATGGAACCGTAAACGCGTGTTCTTTTCCTTCAGAAATTAATACGAAAAGAAAGAGTATATTGTCGTGTCTCTTCGATAAATTTATTTAAAATCATATACAAAAAATATTTGTGTAAATTATTCGTCAGATGTTCGGCCTCACGATTACTCATGTTCTCGTACGAAATTCTAATAATACAAACGAGTAGACGAGACGTGACTAATCTTAGAATTTTATTACTATCTAATTGTAATTCTCTTTGCCATTCTCTGAAAAACTGTCCCCAAAATTATCGTCAACATGCTTGTGCACGATCGCAAAGCAATGAAAACATTTCCTCTCTGGGTTTTCGCTCCTTTCGAACTTTCAGTCAACCAACTTTACAGCTAGTATTTTCAAATAATGTCATAATACATTAAATATTTCTCAAAAAGAAAACATAATGCCATGAGAAAAGCGTCTAATTGTCTTAAACGCCGTCTCCCTTATATAACGCTACACGCCGGTAACAACTTGACAACATAACCTCAAATTAATCGAATCAGTTTACCATAACGTCGCGTTCTAACGTTTCTCATGATTGAAGGGAAACTTTTTCTACTTGATGAAGTCTATTTTAGTTTTATCGTGATAAGTTTTTTGTCGTTGAGCAAAGGAGGTTGATTACGGCATGTTCTTGTGAAATTACGACTACTCTTCGCTCTTATTTATAGTTCATTCAAATGGGGATTACGTCAGATCGTCAATTCAGAATAGAATGTACCAAATATGACTTTCTAAATGGATATCCACTTTCTAAAAATAACAAGCTGTCTACGACGTGGCTTTAACTATGATATCGGTAAAGATATTTTTTATTTTTATTTCCAAGCGGTTCTCCAAATCAATTGCATACGTACCATCTTGATTCTATATCCAGTATAGATAAAACAGTATCAAACCCTCGAAAAATATATCAAGATCGCAAAACGAAACAATCTGAAAGTATTGACTAGCAAATATCAACATCCACAATGAGAGGAATCAATCGGTATTTATTTTCCTTCAATTACCACATTGCACACATATTTCCCGTATAAAATCTCAACAAGCAGATTTCGATTCGATATTTCACAGCCGCCAACCGAGTCATACATTTTTTTTATAGATTACGTACACACATAAAAATTGTCATTTTCTGGATATACTTAAAAATCTGTACACCAATGTGAATCCTCAACATAAAAGTTAACAATCGTAAACACCGCTAAGTGTTAGAAATTCGTATCTATAGTTGCTCATAATCAGACCCGAGTGTATATACATATCTATGCACAAGACTGAGTAGGCGGTAGGCAGATATATTGGGAGCATGAGAAAGCGAGAGTGCCATATCGATCCGGTTCGTTGTAGTCTACCTACCTCAACCCAGGCTTCGTTCTATCTACCGGATGGGTCCACTGGCAGAGGAACCAAAATTTTCCCCAGGGCTTCAAATTTCATGAAATTTTTTTTGTTCGCCTCGTTCCTCGCATCCCAGTCACATTTTCGATTCCAATAGGCGATTCATATTAAAAATTATATCATAACCTTCAATCTCTGAGAAAAAAATTCTCTTGCACCAGATGATTTAATCCTTGAGATACGTTGCGTTAAAATCTCCGCTCTTTTTCCATGTAGGTCAACAAATCCCCTCGGGCATTTCCAAGTAACCGCTTCTCTTTTCTGGCTAGCGGGGTTCGCGCTGCATTAATATTACCTTGGACTACGCCTCCTCAAGTTTGATTGCATTTTCGGAGGATCCATTCGCATCGGTGATTCTCGCAGAGTCGAGAAGCTTATTTATTTCGCCCCCTGCCCCCCTCCCCCTAATTGTATACCAATGCCACGACGAATTGAGGATGAAAATTGTCCTGTTGATTCCACACAGCCTTTTGATAGTCTGTGACGTCACGGGGTACGCCCTCTTATTTTTTACTGCTTTAATTAACTCTTATTCCCTGTATCTATAGTTTCATCTTCTATTTCTCGAAATGGACCCATACTTCCATCATACATAATAAATCAAATACCAATAATACAACAACTCGGGTAAATTAATCGTTATCATCAATATTTATTTTCATTATATCCTCTCTCGATCCGTCCTGAAAGTGACGGGCGCGATATTCGTCGCTGTTTGTATACCTGTAAAAATATCAGCAGTATCGCTGATTGGCGCAATGTTCTAATTAGTTGATGATTTTTTTTTTGCTTGCGCTAAACACCCTACCGGTTCTCATACCATTAAATCTGTATTACACGGTACCGTCCCTACGTATGTATTGCCCGTGTTAACTTCAGGCGTAATTCTCCTTCGAAGATCGGCACTCCGGGATCTGTTTTCTTTTGTCTTCGAAGACTCGAGGAATTTCACTGGTGTCACTGGTGTGTAACGCGAATTACTCCTGGTGGCTACGCCGGTGGCTGTTTTGGGCGGGCGACGGCTGTGCGCAAAAACGGCGGCAGTCAAGTTCAAGGCCATCTCTCCTCTCCTCTTTTACATCTACTCTCTCTCTTTTTCTCTCTCTATCGCGCGCACACACACCTCTGTCATTCCCTTCCTCTCGTCTCCCCTGTACCCCTTGTCCACGCTCATGACTGCTATCGCCGGCACCACCTCTATCGGCCCTGATATACATGCAGCACGCAAGTCCAGGGATGGATCTATAACTTGGCGCTCCGATTCACGGGGGGCACCCTCCTCATTTTTCACGAGACCTGGATAGACGAACTTTTTTTTCCTACTTTTATGCATCTGGCGGTTATTCTGGTTTTTTTTTGAAATAACATTTTTTTTATATGTAATAATAAAGGCTACATTCAAGCGAAGGATTGTCGTTAGGTGCGAGTGTCTTGTTTGCTCGAACTTTTTTTTAAAATTATCTTTCCCTGTATTAAGTACAGGGTTAGATCTGTCGCGTTACTCGCGTCTAGCATGTCATTTTCTAGCTCAATCGATAACAGCCACTGTAGTTCGACAATGGGAATCGGCTGGCTATTGATAACGACCTTCAAAGCGTTTTCGCTCTGGATTGAAATCTTTTTCGAAATTCACTACCACGTAGGCTCATTTCGAAAATTGATCTGCACACCACAGCAGATAGTAGACAGTAAACGTTCTCAACGGAAGTGACGAAAGAAACTGAACTTCAATAAACACTAACGAAAATCCCTACAGAAAGGTATATCGTTGCACATGCAGCGCGCAAGTATCATCGATCTTCGCATCTCAGACCTACCTCTCTAATCCTTCTGAAGATCGGTACGATCAGGCAGCGCGAGATTCGTGAATTAAAATTAAAAAGAAAAATGGAATTCAATTTTGGCCATTTTAATAACATCGAGTTTGCACCTCTATTTCTTCCATGGGTATCGTCCATACGTACACCCTTAAGATACAACTGCTCTTCCATTCTGTGTCAAATTTTATCTTGAAAATTCATCTCTCGTCCATCTGCCTTTTCCTTTTGTTTTTCTCAATCTCCTTTGCGATTCCTTCTTTTCGCCTTGTCCGTACCGTTAAAACCCGTCGGGCGCTTCGTTTTGCTCGTCTATCCGTAGAAGCTACGTATGAATGAGGCATCAGTGGCTGTCCTTGAGAACTCTGTGGGATGTGCTGCCACTGTAGTATACACTGGCTCTGCAGAATTCGTATGCACGACAAAATAGGGCTGGTGACCGTCTCCTGTGCTGAAGCTACTTTAACGGTGTATACATATATGAAATGGAGTATCGGGGCATTGTCGGTATACGTTTTATACGCACTATGGGATGATTATTTTTGGTATAATTGTCGGGAGGAACAATAATACTCGATTGTATAACAATTATCATTGCATTATTATAAGTAGACGGCCAAGGTCATATTTCGTGTTTTTTCTCTCTGTTTCTTTTTACCTCGAGCGACTTGATTATACAGACTGACGAGACGCTTCTTGAAATTGGCTATGCAATGCGAAGTGCATCTTACAGATTTGGAGAAGATACGGTAGTTTACTTTGTTTTCCGGCTGGTTGTTTGTACATCGTGAAAAGATAAAATAATTAACGATGTGATTTTCCTTTTTCTCTGGCTAACTTTTATCATCGACTCGTGACTTGGCCAGTCGTGGAATTTCTTTTTTTTCCCCATAAATTACGTAGGACACGGTTGAAGTTTTTCATTAGTTTCTACGTCACGCGTACATGGTGAATATCTCCCTGGAACTTTGGCGTATGGTCCGCAAAGAGAACATAGATACGTTGAAACATGGTCGCGGGATACGATAGCCTCGAAGAACGAGGCGTGAACGATTGTATAACGATCGCGAGTGCATTGGCAACGTCACTCTCGTTCCCTATGTATTATTTACTACTCGGATAGGAATTCTCGTTCTTCTCCCTTCATCTCACCTTTTCGTTGGCCGCCATGAAAAATGCATTGATCATCCAATTTGCGCTCCGTGCGAAATTTCGATTCGGACGACGGCAGAAACGACCGTTATCTACATCCCTCGGAATAGAAAGAAAGTCTAATAAATTCATTAAATTACGATCGATAAGAACGCGTAGACGGCGTGGGTCCAGGGTGGGGAGAAAATGTATTTAAAGAAATTCGAAAAATATATTCTCAACGCGTTCTGTCACTCTCCCTCAATTCACCCCATTGGCAGTACCAAGTAAGTTTGTACTTTTAAATTTCGAAAATACGTTTCTTCATTCTCCCGGCATCAGTTTACCTCCTCCCCCCCCTCCCCCCTCCTTTCGTCAGTCCCATCCCCGAGACTAAACGACTCGCAGCATCCACCGACTCGACGCGCTTATCACTGATCTTCGAGTGACGACGAAATTCAACGGGTGCCGTTGTGTAACCCGAGTCCGAGTAAGTACGGGGAGGCCAAGTGCAACGGAATAGCGGAACGATTACATGAGGTAGGTGCGCGCGATGAGAAGGATGCAGGACGGTAGATGACAATAGGATGCGAGGAGACAGGCGGGCGTATTATTCAATAGAGGAGCAGGAGGGGAAGGAGGTGGGTGGCGGAGGAGGAAGAACTAGAGAGTAGAACTGAAGACAGAGCAGAAGAGGAATAGACAGTAGAGACAAGGGCAAGAAAGAGTGTTTGCACGGGGCGGAGTGCGCGGTACGATACCTTGGTGTCGGGTGGGTGGGGCGTGGGGGGCTCTCGAAGGGGTTCACGGGCCGTTGGGAAGGAGCGAGCAAACGAGGAGACATGTCAGTTGGAAAACAAGCGAGCGAGCGAGCGAGCGAGGGTGGGCTGCTGCTGGTGGTGGGTCGTTGGTGCGATTCGCGGATTCGCGCGGCGGTTCGTGTTACTGTAACACAGTCGTGCACGGCCCACGGAGCCGTCATCATCCAACTCCGGGTGTATAACGCGTTAGCGAACGCTGCAGTCACTCCGTGACCGTTTTTACGTTGGAATCTGCATAACGTTTTTATGTACGCGTGTGTCTACGTATTCTTGGTAGTCGGGATTGAATTCAGGAGTTTGTTATTGTCGTCTCGCTCGGTATCCTTCACGTGCTTCTGTTTTCTGTGTCCGGAGAGCAGTGTCGGTTCTTTGAGGACGGGACAGGAGAAGACGTGACTGTTGGACTTGTTGACGAGTTTTGAGAATTGGACGGAGTTTTGTAAGGGGCTGGGGACAATATTTTGGGGTGTCGATAAGTGGTGGGCAAAACTGGAGCTGTGTCCTTTGGCGGAATGTACGACACAGCGATGGACGCCTGGATGTACGACGTGGTATGTCTCTTCGTGTAATTGTTTTGCGTGTATGGTTAAGCCCGGCTTCTTGGTCGGGGCTACGGGGAAAATTATGCGTCTGGGCTCACGGTCACTCTGGGGGGAGAGAACGGCGAGCGTTGGGAAACGTGGGTTTGTTTATGTTGAGTCGCGTGACAACACAGTGGACTGCGGCCATGTTGTCATACTGGCTCTGGTTGCTGGGTACTTGACATTAGATCTTGCGAGCGGAGTTATTAGTCGCAGTTGAACGTTCCAGAGGAATCGCGTTAGGTTCTTGTGGGTTGAATTTGTAGGGGATTTTAGAGAGTGAATTGAAGCGTGTATGTCATTCTCGGGTGTGGTGGCTGCTGGGTAATGTAAAATCAACGTGGAGAGGATAGAACGCGGGTGAGTATTATACGTTTGAGATTCTAAGCGAACTTGGTGACTCGTTGCAAAGCTTTGAGATGGAAAGTGAAAAGAAAAAGTGAGTAACGAATTTGTTTATTTTTGTGCGCGAACGGGGGGGCTCGAGTCGTTCGAAAAAAAGTCTAAGCAGACTCCCTGGTCGATTTATCCTAGTGCCAAGGTCAATGGCGGCCGTTTTGTTCGTTCGCTAAATTAACGTCGATCGGAAAAGTAATTTTTAACAAGAACCTTTGTCTTGTTCATACAGACGTTAACTCACGCCCATCTACTGGGCTTGGATATGTGCGACTGTATTAAAGTATGCATCGGTTAACACCTTATCATTATCAAGAGTAATTGGGGATCGTTCCAATCCCCACCAACGGAGGAACCATGACCAGGCCCACTTAAAAATAGATAATTCCTATCCGTCGTATCATAACTCTGTCTCTCACCTTCCTACCGCTTCAACTTGCTCACTCCCATATTTTTTCGTGTGACGTGTAGGCACTTCGAATAAATATTCACGTGAGAGCCAGGCAGACAGACATATTGAAATTTTCAGATTTTATGTACACTTCGGAATCGACACAGAATCGTACGAGGCACAGTGGCACATTGGGACGCCATATTGCCTTGCCATTGAAAGTGGCTTCGGATAACAAGCCAGACTATTCCCTCGTTCTATTTACATTTCTTTATAATTACAGCCCCTGAAACCATACATCAGTCTGTCGTATTATTTCGATATCGTGATACTCGCTCACGGTTGGCCTTAATCGTAATTCAAGTTCTACGTACGCATTTCAGTCGTATGGTTATAGATTTTTTTTTACGTTTATTGGATCATCCTGGTAAAAGGTATTTAGTATCAAACTGCAAGCTATTTGTACGAATGTTATTTTTCACATTAAACTGCCTATATTACTTTCACCTTAGTATCGTCTATACAGTAGCCAATGGTCGATGGTAGAATTTTATGTATTTCGTGCGCTCTATTTTTTTTTCGCAAATTCTTCTTTCTTACCGTCTTCGACTAACAATATCTCGGAAGGTTCCAGTGGTTCGTTCATCTGTCCGTTTGTCTGTCTTTTCCCTCTCTCTCTTTCGGTATGCAGAATTTCGCACATTTTTCGGGGAGTTACGTTTCAGTCGCGTTTCCTCGTGAGTCTGCGTTGCAAATCTTGTGTCTACCCACTGAGCCGTGAATTGCTTATGCGCTTCCTACGTGCAATATGTATGTGGCCTAGTGCTTTATAAGCGTACATCGAGTACGCAGGTCTTACGCAATTTTCACAAGTAAAAGTATACACTCGCGCATGTGTAATCAATATTATTCAATGTTCGGATCTATTGCCGGAAGAGCCGCCGATTGCGACAACTTATAAGGCCGCCCGGAACCCTCGCAACCCGGGACCTTCTGGCGATCTTGAACTCAGCTTATGGCATCCTACTATCTTAGGCTTGATAATGGCGATAAGCGCGAGAACGGCACGTGGAATTTATTATGTGATTGGATATTACGTAGGATAAGGGACATGCATGCTCGTACCGATACCGATTTTATTATTATTTTAATTTTTTTTCGAACAGACCCATCGTTTATCTGTGCTCGTGCGTGGAACGATGATGGACTAATTAATTTTTATGGGACGTCCTAATGTCATTTCGTGCGAAAAAGTTGTTTTGGCAATTTCATTGTACGCGCGGGCTTCTACTGACTTTTGACCTTGAACTCGCTTTTTGGCATTCGAAAATGACGACTTTTTAAAGATTTTTTTCAACTTGGTTTATTGTGCCCAATGGAAAGAATGCTGGTACTATAATCTGGTGACAAGGGAAGACTATAGCTTCAGAGGAAAAATTATGCCGTCCCATGAGGATGACCAAGCGAAGGAACCATCCTGTAGGAAAGTTGTTCAAAACTGTCCTTGAATCGTCGACGATCACGAATGTAGTCCTAATGCGTACTCGCATTACTGCAGTTTCTTTCCTGACCTTGTCTCTACTCATCTTACCGAGCTCAGCATCAGTGATTTTCATGAATTCATTTTGAAAAAAATGACCCCTATATTTTTCTAACAAAACAAAATTTGGTTACAAGTCTATTGAACTCGAGAAATTTTATTTTTCAAAGATGACGCCATCAATGAATTTCAAATGAGTTTTGTTCACCAGGCAGGATATTAGACGCGATAATAAGCTGCACCGTGAACATTATTTTAGTAATGCTAGAAAAATTGTGCTAGACGACTAGCTAAATTGTACAACAATTAAAGCTATTTCTTTTCTATGAAACTTTGTTTTCCGCAAAACTATGATTAGCACGGTGAAATTCGGTAAAGAAAAGTTTATCAATGTATTTGAATGAACGGGAAAGTGTACCTAATCATTTTATAAAATTATTCCCGTTTAATATGTATTTCTGTACTTGAAATCGCTCGTTCGGACATTTCTACGTAATATTTTTCAAAATTTCACGTTGTCTCACCGTTAACGCGCTCGTCGAGGTATTTTGTAAATGAAAAAATTCTATTCGCGCGCGTCCGCGTAAACGACGGATAGCACACTGGCAGCAGTCGTAAATCTTGGAAAAGCGTTTTTTGACGGTTGTGCCCGGGACTGCGAGGGGCGGGGTTAGTCGGGCCGTCGGTCGACAACGACATGCAGTGGCTGCCACCTACCAATGCGAAGGCCATGCCTCGTAGATACGTACGTGCATTCAAAGTGAAGGTCTCGCTTCTCTTTAATTCCCTCTCGACATCTCCTCTCCACGTGTAACCGCGTAACTGTGCTAGTTCTTACTCTTTGGTGTTCTCCGTCTCGCTATATATATATATATACACATACATCTGGCGGCCTTTGTGCTCTCACAGGGTATCCGATTGTCCGTCGCATATATATCTGTCATGTTTCCAGCTTGATCGGTTGAGCGAGTCCTTTTTCATTTAAAATTAATTTCCGCGTTGATACTTAAACTGAACACCCGGTATGCCGTCAAAGGGGGATCTTGTTACTTGCGTCCCGATCGTCCGACAGTCGTGTTGAGTTCTCGCGAACGTTACACCTACATATTTTGGGGCATCTGCTATTTACCGCGATGGCGGCGGCCGTCTGTCGCAGTGCGTGCTGGCCGCTGGTGATATCCGTTAGCGCGGACGAGAAGGGAGAAGTATTGAAGGGGCCAAAAGGAAGGAAGGCGGAGAAGGAGAGAAAGGAAAAAGGAAGACTACGGTAGGAGGCGTGCGACGAGGCATCGTCCCTGTGGCCTCCGTGACGCTATCGTTCGAATTCTCACTTTATATTAATTGCCGAGGATTTTTTAGTCGCCCACTCGTGCCCTCTATTGACCAGGGTCCCCGTCGAGGCCTTTGAGGATTTTGGCGTATCTCTTGACCTTCAGGGAAGGAGCTGCGTCCGAAAGCCGCCGAGAGTAATGTCTTTTTCATTTCTCTACGTCGTTTTCGACACGGCGGCCATCTTGTCCCATCGCATAGTACATCGTCGGGTATACCCAATGGATTGTTTTCTTTTAATCGACGTACTTTTATATGCGCTAAAGTATTTCTAATGGTCGGTTAATCTTTTTTCTTTATGTCGCGTTTGAACCCCCCGAGAATATCGCGCCGAGTGGCCAAACGGCAGACGCGCAACGCAACGTGCGATCAACAATATTTTTGGTATCGGGAGACGCGATAGAGGGAGTCGGGTGAGACGTCGTTACGGAGTCAGGGATACGCGGAGGTCCCGTCGGGTTTCTTATCGCGAAGAAAAAGGAAAGATGAAATTTCAGTGCGCTCGCGCGTCAGGGTGCCGGGGAGGTGGAAGCCCTCGAGTGAGACTAGCGACGGCGAGCGCTTGCTGCCGCCGCTGGTGCCGGCGGTGGTGGGGGAGTCAAGTTTAAGGCCACGAGACGTCGGTGACGTCATTCGAGCCGGGCCGGCCCTAACCTTGGACAATATGTAACCGGCCAAATTCTCGAACATTTTAATGCGCTCAGTCGTGCTTCTTTTATTTATTCTCTTTTTTTCTTTTTACTTTTTTTCCTTTCTCTCTTGCTCCCGCGATCTCTTAGTCACGGGCATTCCTTTCTCTCTCGTCTTTCTCTCTTGCATCTCATTGTTGCACGCTGTCTCTTCAGCAGTTTTGTCTCTTTGTTTATAGCCCCTTTTGTTTCTTATTTTTCATATCTTTCCGTACGTGATTTTGTTGGCGGGTCCTCCTTCCTTGTTACGGAATTGCGACACTGGGAAAACAAAGGAGTATGAAGTCTTTGCAATTACTTGTCAGGTTTATTGTCGAAATTTTGAATCTGGTCGCGTTGTTTTTCTTGATTATCGAACCGCAGTGTCCGAGACACTTTCTTCGACGTATCGACGCTCGCACGAGTGCGCTGACTTCGTTGGCTGATAATAATACGCTCTTACGTCTCCAGTCGCGTTCCCTGCCGTTGCGTAATGGCCAGTGACTTGACTCTTTTTTTTTTTTTCTTTATGTGACCGAGTCCAATCGTTTTGAAAATGCCGTTGTAAACTTTCAAAGTTCTAGGTTAATGGAGCATACAGCGTTCTCCGATGCCGCCCCGTCTGCCCCTTAATGCGCCGTTACTA